CCAGCGTACGTACTATTCTCATTATCATGCTGTTGTTGGTTTTCTTCTTCCGTTCGTTGTTTTGCCGGCTGCTTCCGATCCTTCCGCTTGGGGCAGGAATTCATCCGATGCCCCTCCGCCTTACAAAGGAAACACAAATTAGTGTTCCCTTGATAGAATATGTTCACTTTTCGATTGAGAAAATGCAGCGAGTTGGGAATCTCTTTTTGTATATCCATACATAGTCCCGCACACTTGTGTGCATATCGAGGCACAAGGCAGCTGTAAATTTCACCCGAACTACACGCTTTACATCACCGTATTTCCCTAGCACCAAAGCTAGATCGCAATCCGGGACTTCTGGTGAGAGGTCGTACACTCTCACGTATTGAACGGTGCCCCTAGCAGTTGACATGCATACTTCGACTGACTTCCCACCGGCATAATGAAAAGTTAATTGTTCACGGATGTTCAACAAGCAATGAAGCATGGAATCTGCTGATTTGAACTTGATAAACATAGATTTTTCTTCCGCTATGTGATATGTAGCGATCACCTGCACGGGATCCGCGTCCACGGCTTTCACGAAATTTGCAAATTCATCCATCGATGGTCTCGGCAAGTCATATGGGAAGCTGAACCTAATCGTCATTTTCATTTCAACGGACATCTCCAGTTGTTTGCTTCCAAAGGGGCAACGACAGAAGCAAACAAACTTCAAATAATGAGCAAAGCACCGCAACAAAGAGTTGCTATCGAAAAACAGACTATCGCGTGACTCAAACCGAAAAAAGACAAAAAGCTGCTCATGTCAACAGCTAAGAGCGAACTGTACCAGAGCTGAGCCAAAAAGTTGAGCTCGTTTCTTCGGTTTCCTTCTGGTCTTAGAGTTACCTCTATGGTCTTTCTATAGGTTATAAATCGTCAAAAAAGAACGCCATCTTGAATTTAGTCCACCAGTTTGCGTTTCAAAATGGCGGTGGAACTCGATTTTTGACCTCTAGACACTTTCTTCATACAAAAAATACCCATATTGAATGTTTTCAGATGCAAAATAGTTATGAGAGCGGCCATTTTGAATTTCGATCCGACATCATCAATTTCAAAATTGCGGTAGACCTCGATTTTTGACCTCTGACTCCTTTTTTCCTCATATATAAAAAAAACATTTTGCGTGGTTTCAGATGATAAATCGTCATTTATTTCGGTTCGATGTCCTGGATTTCAAAATGGCAGTTGATCACAATTTTTGACCTCTGACTCCTTTTTTTTTTGTTTGTTTTTTCCGTCGATCTTGTTTTCCGTGCTGAGCACCAATGCTACCGACGTGCCAGGAAGGCAGCTCCCACACCTGGACCCTACCACCTATCGACCCATCAACTCATGAACCGGGGACCAACGGCTTTACTTCCCTTCCGAAGGAAGGCGTGATCAGCGATGTTATGCCTCAGAACATCCCGGCGGCGCCGACTGGGATTGAACCCAGGCCTGCTGGGGTGAGAGGTAATCACGCTTACCACTACACCACCGGCGCCGTTGACTCCTTTTTTTGCTCATATATAAAAAGTATTTTGCATAAGGGCGTGATCGATTCTCTTCGTCGATTTTCTCTTTTGTTAATAACTCGCTAGAATTAACGTTTCTCGGTGCATTTGCTGTTGCTTTTGATAGCCAATACAATGTAAACACATTGCAACTTTGCATTGAACAAATTCTAGGCAATTGTTTCGCTTAGGGCTACAAAATGGTGAGTTGACAACCTGGAAGGAGTGGAATACCTGGCCCTGGTCCTCACAAGTTCCTACTTCACGCCTCCCCGAGTCAAATGATAACAAAAGACTACCAGCTGAAACATGGATACAGCTGGGTGGCGCAGCCTGGGCAATGTTGCCAGTCCGGCAATAGCAAAGTGAAGAGGTGCGACGCGAACACTGGCGCGGTAACCATAGTACGGAGATCGAGGAAATGCTTCACCAAACCCGAGCGTCTGTTCACCAGGGAGGTGCGGCTCAAAACGGCGTCTGTTCTCCATGTTAGGAGCGGCTGATCACCGTCCTAGTGCCAGTGTGGGACTCTAAACAGAGCTGTGCACGATGGTCCCCCGGCGAGACAGGAGGTTGGGCAGGCCTAACAAGCCGCCCTGTAAAAAACATAAAATTGCAAATACTGAAGAAAGAAATACGGATCGGAACAATCGGCACAGACCTACGCGACGAAATAAGGACTACGATTGGAAACTCGGAACATGGAACTGCAAATCGCTCGGCTTCCTGGGCTGCGATAGGTTAATCTATGACGAACTTCAACCACGCAACTTCGAAGTCGTAGAAGGCGACCTGCGGACCCTTCCCAGACTACGAGGCTGGCAAAGTGTGGCCATGGATCGAGTAGAGTGGAGACGACTTCTTCGGACAGCAGAGGACAACAAGGCCTTAGACATTGATTGGTAAGGTAAGTAGCAATGCAAAGAGAAAATCGATGAAGATAATCGATCATCGCGTATAATACGCCCTTATGCATCCTCACTGTCAACTTAATTTTCTAGTTTACTCAATATCTATCCATAGCAAGCAATATTTTGATAATTGTTGATGTTTTGAGAGTTGGTGCACAGGTAGATTGAGGTTAAGGAAACGCTGGATAAATCGTCAAGAAAAGATCACCATCTTTAATTTCGATCTGCCATATCAACATTTTGCAGGGATTCAGATGATAAGTCGTCATGAAAAGACCGCCATCTTGGATCTCGGTTCGCCATCTTTAATTTCAAAATGGTGGCAGACATAATTTTTTGGTATGGGAAAGATATTTTTATATAATTTTAAAATAATTACATAAAATTCCATTCCGTTAAAATTTTATAAAAATCTGACACCACTTGCATGTCCGAAAAATATGAACCGGAAAACACAACCCAAGTTAGGTTTTTTTTATTTTAAAATTTTCCAATCCAAACTTGTTTACCGGTTAATGAAAACTAACCCGAGCCTTAGGGTTGGCTCGGGTTAGTTTTCGTTTACCGGGGTGTCGTGTAAACACAACCAGTATCAAAACCAAAATTATCCAAATAGTTCATCGAAGTGACCGAAGTATCCTGAAAATCTAGTCCACTCCAAGAGTCTTGACATTTTTTCATGGTCCAGAATCCTAGCCAGAATCTTATTTTTATGAAGAGAAGACAAAATCAAAATCCACGAGCTTTTCCCTGTTTTTCCTGGTGATTTCTAATTCTTGGCGTGTTCTGGGCATTCCCGATTTCTCGGTTCACCTTGCAAGTATTCCTTAAATCGCGATTAAGACCAGATTTCGAAGATAAATGTGTTTAAACATTTGGAAAACGTAGATAACTCTCAAACTACGATTTAGGCCTCATTTCCGGAGCTAAACGGGATTAGACGTTTGGAAAACCTAAGCACCTTTCAAATCGCACTTTAGGGCTTATATTTTTTTTCCTTGATTTGTTTTCCGTGCTGAGCACCAATGCTACCGACGCCAAGAAGGCAGCTCCCACACCTGGACCCTACCCCTATCGACCCATCAACTCATGAACCGGGGACCAACGTGTTTACTTCCTCTGCGAAGGAAGGCGTGATCAGAGATGTTATGTCTCCAAACATCCTGGCGGCGCCGACTGGGATTGAACCCAGGCCTGCTGGGGTGAGAGGCAATCACGCTTACCACTACACCACCGGCGCCGCTATTTAGAGCTTATTAATTTCCACGGGTTTACAATATTTTCGTGAGTTTTAGTCCGAGCAAGTTCCACCAGCTCGAACTATCTCGATTGACTTATGAAAAGCAGAATTTCACAAAAACCATCGTTTCTTCTTCAAATTGAAAAGTTTTATTTTTCATATTACAAAAAGTAGCAAAATTGTGGACGAGATCGCAGTAGGCTGCGCTTGAAAACTGAAGTGTTTTTCTTTTGCTGCGCATTTTTTGTCAGCGAATTAATGTTAATTGTGTGCTTTAAATTTATTAATTTGTGTGCTGAAATTTTCATAAAGAGTTCATAAAGTTATCATTTAGTGATATACCGTGTTTTGCCTTGAGTGACTCGGTTGACCTTGAATTTAACCTCCAAAATATACGACGCCGCTTCAGTTCTATTGTTCGATGTCGGTTTTCATTGCCTCGCGGGAGCCCGGTTCTCCGAGTTCGGATGCTGCACTTTTGGTGTGTAGTTCTATTGAGAGATCGGTCCGGTTGGTGAATTAGTCCGGGAACGTGTTGATAATATGTCCGTAGTGAGTTTTGGTGTTGATTCAGTAGCCGACGTTGCCGTGAATCAGCAAGTTTTTCGCTTGCAAAAGTGCTCGGTTGCTGGTCTCTCTCCGGTTTCGGAGATTGCGAGCAATATGAAAGATGCCTCGCTGGATACGCCCAAGACTGGACCGTGACCGCGAACTGTTCCTGGGGAAAGCACTAGACGCAAACCTCCTCCCAGAGTCCCAGATGACCATGGCAATACAAAAAAAATTGTGTTCGTTGAAGGAAGTATTACAAAGGTGCATCACGAAATGAGATGAAAAAATCAAAATTACGGAATGCATGGATTGGAGGATCAAATTAACATGGTGAGACCAACCCAAATACATTTTAAAATTAAAAAAAAAAAACATATACTAAATACGTGCCAGGTTTGAAAAGAATACTTTCGAACCTGGAAGCGAGTATATAACATCAATATCCATTTGATAACAGTGATGCATACATGCGGGGCTTATTGTAAGTGAAAGTAACCTCGGAATGGGCGTGACTCACCAGACATTCTGAAATGGGTTGCTGGATCTGCAATAGAGCTATCACTTTCTAACTCTCGGACTAAAGCTGTCTATGTTCGACAATAGCTTCCGAAAAACAAAACTGAATAAGGAACTCCCTGAATGATTTCTTGATCAAAAGTGTAGTATTTCTACTTTTCAAAATTTGTGCATGGTTTTGTTTAATAACTTTCTACCACTGAAAAAGCACCATCTGTGAGAAAAATAGCCCAACCTAAGTGGTTCACCGACACTCACCTTTTTCCGGTAGCTGTCCGCCTTGGTCGGTTCGTAGTCCTCCACGAACTCGTCGTACATGAACTGTAGTGTGAGTGCCGATTTTCCAACGCCACCGCTGCCCACCATGATGACCTTGTGCAGCGCTGGTCCCGCCGTAGGTTTCTTCGACATTTTTCCGATCTTTTCTGATTCTTCTTCGCTTCTCGAGAACACACAGTAGAACGCTAGTATTTCAGCAGGATGATGTAAGCACGTCTGAGGTAATATCGTTTTTTTTTTATTCTGGTCGCTTGTTATCACTAGTTACACGTCAGAGACAGATTCGCACTGGTTCGCCAAATGCATTCAGTCCTTACGATACTCTACTATCCACATGAGATGAACACTTGGTAATTATAATATCACTTCTTATCTCTACGGAGATGGCGCACTGCCTGCCACTTCGTCTTCTTCTGCTGCTACTTCACTCCAGTCCAACTCTGGGCTCCATCATGGTTGTCGTCACCGAGATCATCACCATCATCGCTTTCGGTTCATCATGATCGGAACCCTGGTATACTCGTGCGCTGCTCTCGCCTGCTCGATGATGTTGTGGAATCTGCAAATGCGGTAAAGTAATCAAGAGTTAGGATTTATGTTTTATTTTGGTTGGATGGTTGAAATTTCTGAATTACACTGGGCAAAGAAATCTACTTTAAAAAAAAAAGCGAATGTTTTATTTTTTCAAAAATCAACCATGTGTCTCCATGATTTTTGCAAAGCCTTGGAGACGCATGATGCGTTTTACAAAAAAAATCCTGATTGCGATGCCCACTGTATATTTGTTTGGAAAACCAGACACGCATGGCACGTGCCGAATTGGTGGTGATTTAAACAATATTTGACGACGGTGTGTGCTGGAAAATTCCGGTGGAAGACGACGACGTCGAGTGGGTGGGTGTGTGTTTGCAGATTTTCCGTTCCCTTTGATTCCCGAACGTAAACCGTAGACCTTTGAATATAGAGCAATAAGAAGCAATCGACCCGAACTGCTCAAAACTCTGGAATATTTGTGTACTGAAAATCGTTCGAGCGTGCGTATACAAAGTTTATCGGGGAAACCAGACCACAGTTTTCCCATCTGCTGGTACCGTAGCAACAGCCGGTCCCAACTGGGACCGGGCGAATGTTTGTGAAAATCATCACGGGTTTAATTTACGATGCATCAGCGCGGGGTTGTTTATATTATAGGTACACTACTGGAAGCTAGAAGAAAGCCGGTTTGCCTAATGGCTTCAAACATGATTAACGTCAAACGACGACGATGGAATGCAGCAGCTCCCCATTCGGGTATTTAACGGCCTAGTTGGAGAGAGTTCAATTAGGTTAAATGTATAATTGGTGTAAAAGTTAATCGCCAATCGCTGGGTAATGCTTGAAGTAACGAGCATTAATTAAGGTTAAATAATCTAGCTTCGGGGTGAGTCGTGAGTGTCGTAACATATTTAGTCTAACATCAGGGCATCTTTCGCCGTCAGCACCTTAAAGTATTAAAGGTGCAAGCACACTGAAAATATAAGCGACGCGGCGTGTGACTTTGAAACTGGCATCGTGCTTCATTGTGTTCGAACCTTTAATGCGGGAAAGCTACGCTTCGCGTGCTGCATCGAGGTTAAAAGCCGGAAGTTCTATTAAAATCATAAACCAACCAACCAACCCGGCCAATTGTTGGGAAGTAAATTCGCATCGATCGGGAAAGCAAAACAAACAACGACGTAGATGGTGGCAAGAAGTCGCAGGATTTTCCTGCTTCTTAGTGCTATGCTCGGAGATGATGTCGCTTTAGCGTAAAATTTCGCATCGTAAAACCCTATCCATGTATTACATAGCTCCTTAGCCAGCAGCATGTCAGACAAGAGACAAGAGGGAATTTGATTGTAAGGTTTATATTGGGGTTTGTGGATGCCGGTATAATAAAATCGGAAGTATCAGTTTGGTAGAATAAGTAGGTATGGGGAGGGAGCATTGGCGTATTTTTTTGGCACAGATATGATAGGAGCAGATGAGGGACTTTGTATATGACTAAATTATTTCCTCAATATAATTTACTCGTGTATAATTAAGAATTGATATCAAAATGTTACTGAGCTGCTCAAGGTGACAACTGTATTTTAAAGGTAGTTCTGATTAATTTTAGATTTCATGTGATTGTTCTGAATAGAATTTCAAGAAAATCCCGATGAATTGAATTCAAAGTAAATTTTAATGAAAACTCATAGGAATTTCAGGAACGGAACTCCTGTGAACTTCAGAGGAAAATTCCCAGGGCACTTCGAGGATAAAGGGTGTCCACGATGAAATTGCCACACACAAAATTGATTCGCAAAATTCGAGTTTTCATCCGACTGCCATCAAATTTTCAGGGATTGAGAAATAACTATTAAACTTCATTTTATCATGTTACTCGTATTTTATTTACAGTCCATACGCAAATGCCCGCACCTTGGCCTTAACCCCGGCCATAAGATTCTGCACAACCTGTGAATCAACCGTTTTTTGCATGTAAACCCATACTTTCTTCAGTTCCTCGACTGTCTTCACTACCTTAGGTCGTTTAAGAAGGTGCTGCTTCATAATCGCCCAGTACTTCTCGATGGGGCGGAGCTCCGGAGTGTTGGGAGGGTTTAACATTTTCGGCACGAAATTGACCTTATTGTCCGCATACCACTTCAGCACGTCCTTGGAGTAGTGGCATGAGGCCAAATCCGGCCAGAAGATTGTTGGGACGTTGTGGGCCTCCAGGAGAGGAAGCAGCCGCTTCTGGAGGCACTCTTTTATGTACACCTGTCCGTTCATCGTGTCCTGGCACGGGTTTTGGCGGACTTGTTCTGCTTCTCGTCGCGATTAGGGGCCTTTTGTACCTTGAACGTTCGAAGCCCAGCCTTAGTTTTGGCCTTCTGGACAAAACTTCGGCTTAGGTGCAGCTTCTTAGACACATCCCTAACGGAGGCGTTCGGATTTCGGTTGAAGGCCCCAACTACGCGGTTGTGATTTTTGGTGTTGTACGGAATACTTTTTCCTTCACTTCTGGGCTTCCGATCGGTGGTCAACCGTTCCTCGAACCGCTTAATCACTCGCGACACCGTGGAATTCGCGATTCCCAACGTTTTAGCGATGGAACGATGCGAGAGATCCTTGTTCTCGTGATGAATGCGCAAGATTTTATCACGCACGAGCTGTTCTTTCGACTCCATTTCCGCGAGTTTTGATCACAGGACTTTAAAACTTGCAGGATGTAAATAATGCACTATGAACTAAATCCACCCAAATTTTCATTAAATTCTACCCAACGGTTAAAAAGTTAGAGCAATTTCATAGTGTGGCAATTTCATCGTGGACACCCTTTAATTCCATGAGGTTTGTGGGAGAAAAAGAATCTGGAGAATAAGTCCTTTGACATTTTCGAAGTATACTTAGGGGATGAGCGAGAAGCTACAAGGAGAATTGCAATTCTGAGAACAACTCCAGGAGATCTTCAAAGGAATTCGAAAGAGAATTCCAGGAGTGTCAACCAAATTAAGGAGAAATCCAAGGAATTTGTGAAGAGAAATGCAAAGGAATTCTTGGGAGTCTTTCATTGTGAGTAGAATTCCAAGGAAAGGAGTGAGATTCAAAAGGAAATCATAAATGAATACATTGAAAATTCTGAGAATCTTTCCAAAGGGTTTCTTACTGAAGAGAACTTCAAGGTCATTCCGAGGAAAATACAAAAAAAAAATGAACGATAGCTTCAACGAAACTTTAAGGAATATTTCAATGGAACTGCGAGAAGTATTCTAAGTAAGTATATGCTGGTGATATTTTTTAGAGAATTTAGAGAAGCGTTCCAAGCGAATTTCTAGAATAATTCCATTAGAATTTCGGGTGAATACAAAGCGAATGCTGAGGAGACCTCCAAGTAAATTTTCCGTTGAATATGGAATGGGCTATTCTGTGGTCTTCAGAACTAGTTGAATGTTCTTTTATAGTTTGAGGAACTGCTCACAATACTCAAATGCTTAAACTTGCCTGATGTTTTTCGGACTTTCAAAAGTTTTCTAGATTTTCCTAAAGATCCTGGATCTTCTCTAAATTTTTATCAATTCACTGAAGTTCTCAAAAAATTTTAGTTTTTTTTTTTTTAATTTTCCTGATGTTAAAAGTTTAACGTTTTCTGTTCTTTCCTAAAGTTTTCGAAACATCTCTATTTTTTGTAGTTCTCATGAAGTTTGTTGTGCTGCCCTGAATTGAATGGAACTGTCTTAAAATATCTAAGCTTCCGTGAACTTCTGAACTTATGCGAAGACCTCAATAATGTTCTTAACTTCTTGCAACTTCTTAAAACAAATTCCGGTGGTACCAAAATCCCTCTATGGTTGGAGCTTACTAAACATCTTTGAAATGCTCCCGCATTTTGCTAATGCTAAAAAAGCACTCACCGAATTTCCTGCCTAAAATACGATCTAAACTGAGTGCTTTATCTTACTGCTCCTATACTATCACACCGTTTTCTTTGGAACACTAAGGGGTAGTGATCATCACCCGGTTGAAATCCGGCTTGACTGCAGACCACCCAAGGCTTCCCGTAGGCCACGATGGATCTACAATCAAGCCGACTGGTCTGGATTCTAGGAGATAATCTCCGCGTCGTGCAAGGATTCCCAATCCTCAGACATAGGGAGTTTAACGGAGATCATTGTTTAGGCTGTTCAACGATCCCAAAATCAAGTCCGAATCCCGGCCGGTGGTGTGCCGAAGCCAAGATAACCATCAAAGCTAGGAGGAAGGCTCTTCGGGCCATGAAACGGCTACCCAAAAGCCATCCAGACAAAGAACGGGCTACCGAAGTCTATCGGACTAAGAGAAATGAGTGCCGACAGGGAATCAGAGACGCCAAAACGAGCAGCAGGGACAAGTTTTTCGAGGGGAGAAATGCTGATCAAACGGCGTCTGAACGTTTCAACGCCTTAAATGGGAAGAGGAAAGCCAGAGGGATGGCCCTCCGTCTTCCGAATGGTATCACCCGGGAACCACAAATCATCGCAGAGGCGTCACTGCCTTCGACCAATACGACACGGTTTTCATCCGTTGGAACAACGCGTCCACGCAAAGTTTGAACAACGCGTCCACGCAAAGTTTGAACAACCTAGTTATTCCGGAAGCTCCTACCCCACTACCGAGCAACGCCCTATTCCAGATTGCCGAGCTCAACCTGGCACTCAGTCACTGCGTTGGGAAATCAGCCGACCCGGACGAAATCGGATACCCTATGCTCAGACATCTACCGCCGGAAACCAAACTTGCGATGTTGAGCATACTCAACAATATCTGGACGGAGAACATAATGCCGTCGGGGTGGACTCACAGCTTGGTGGTCCCCATTCCCAAACATAAGGAGATGATCTCCACACCGAAAGACTTCCGGCCAATTTCGTTGACTAGTTTTTTTTTTTTTTTGTTTATTAATTTATTTGATAAGGCTCAACCGAATTAACTTTACAGAGCCGAGGATTCTTGGTCACTATACAATACATCTTAAAACTATAGTCAAAAGGTA